GTGGCTAGTTTGCTGAAATATGTGCCCAGTGGTTCAACAGCCTCGGTGGCCACATATAGCATCTTATCCGTTTCCAGTGAGTCCAGATATTGCAGTATACTGGGATGACGCAACGTTTTAAGGCGTTTTAGTGCCGCCTTTGCCAGTTCACTTTTCGTCTCGGATCCACTTCGTATATCATAAACAAAGACGGAGACCTCCTCTAGGGTGCCTTTGCGTTTGGCCTTGTGCAGTGTCCATATGGAATAGTTATCAAAGCCAGCAACGGGTTCGCCAATGTCATATGGAAAGTCTTTGGAGGAGTCGCGCGAGAAGAACGACCACATCATGTGTTTTGCTCGACGGCTCAATATTTTGTTACGTCCGACAAACACACAAAATGCGACAACACAGACACCCACACACACACACACACACGCGCGCACACACACAGCTGTTGCTGTCTGTGTTTCTGTTGACTATTGTTTAAGGCAGTAGAAGAGAGGCGCTGCCGAGAGAGATAGAGATGTTAACGTTAATGCGTGTGCACCACCACCACCATCAACACTATTGCCAGCTACATACTTTTCAGAAGTTTGCATTTATCGTATTCCTTTTGTTTTTTTTTATGCCAGCTGTTGGTGTGTTGGATACTTGTACTTATGATTTATCTACGCATTCATGAATCTTATCATCGACTCGGTTGACTTCGACTTTTGTTGTTGGCTTCTTCTATGCACAGCAACAATTTTTCAACATACTCTAGTGTTTTGCAATTCGTGTGGTATTTGGGCTTAATGAAAAATTAAAGACTAACGCATGTATATTTGCACTATATTACATTATTAACTACTGCGTTGTGTCTAATGTGTATTAATTACTTAATTAATTCTAAACTTTTTCCCGAGTACGTCAGCTTTTTGCTTCTTCTTGCTTTTGGTTACTTTAGTGATGACACGCGAGCTGTGGGGTACACAATCGAATAGCTGAGCAGCTGACTTGGCGCAATGTTATCGATTGATTAATTAATATTCATATAAAATTAAAACTAATTAACTGATTAATTAAAAAAATAATTGATACAAATAAATCTATAAGAATAATTTATCTACTAATATGTGACTAAAATTTCGATTTAATCTTAATATTGAAGGGTTAAGTGCTTGCAATTCACAGCAGTTGTTGACATTCACAACCGAGCGCTTGACAGTCACTTAGTCTGGCAACACCGCCCTGTGTTATAACATTCGTCTCGCTGCCAACTTCACGCAGGTAAATTTTCGCTGTACGTTCAAGCAATATTTGTGCTAATTTCTTGTGCAGGAACTTCAACAGCTCACAGGATGATGATGCAACGTACAACGCTTTTGCTGCCAATGGCTGTTGAAGCCACCAATGTTGCCCAACAGCAACGTGGTATGGCCACATTGAAGCATATTTCCATGCGCCTCAAATCCGTAAAGAACATCCAAAAAATTACGCAATCAATGAAGATGGTGTCCGCAGCCAAGTACTCCCGTGCCGAGCGCGATTTAAAGGCAGCGCGTCCCTATGGCATCGGTGCTCAACAATTCTTTGATAAAACCGAAGTGCAGGCTGATGCAGCTGCCGAGCCCAAGAAGCTGCTTATTGCCGTAACTTCGGATCGTGGCCTCTGCGGTGCCGTGCACACCGGTGTTGCACGTCTCATCCGTGGCGAGCTGCAGAAGGATGATTCTAACACCATGGTGTTCTGCGTTGGCGATAAGTCGCGTGCCATTCTGTCCCGTTTGTACGGTAAGAACATCCTGATGGTGGCCAACGAAGTGGGCCGTCTGCCACCTACTTTCCTGGATGCGTCCAAGATTGCGCATGAGGTATTGTCGACTGGGTACGATTATACCGAGGGCAAGATCGTGTACAACCAGTTCAAGTCTGTGGTCTCGTACAAGTGCTCCACGTTGCCCATCTACAGTGGCCCCACTGTGGAGAAGTCGGAGAAGTTGGCCGTTTACGATTCGCTCGACAGCGATGTCATCAAGAGCTATCTGGAGTTCTCTCTGGCCTCGCTCATCTTCTACACCATGAAGGAGGGCGCTTGCTCTGAGCAATCGTCCCGCATGACTGCCATGGACAATGCCTCGAAGAACGCCGGTGAAATGATTGAGAAGCTGACCCTCACATTCAACCGCACCCGACAGGCTGTCATCACTCGCGAGTTGATTGAAATCATCTCTGGTGCCGCTGCCCTGACATAAGAAGTGTACTCGTAACACACTCCAGTTTGAGCCGCAGCTTTAGCTTGAACGATTTCATCAAACCTAATTCAAACATTACGAAGATTCGAAAACGCCATTGCTGCGTATTAAATGATATAAAACTTATAATTATCTGAGATAAAAACCAGAATAAATAGCGTGGAACGAAAAAAATCGAATTTTGGTTACAATAATAGTTTGGTAATTTTGTTGTTGATTTTTATGCATTACTAAATTGTTATTTTAATTCAAATATTCACTCGGCTAGTAGCCTATTTTCATTTGTTTCCAAATATGGATTAGATACTTTTAAGTAACTAACCAATATTTGAAACATTTTAATACAGTATTCTCCGATATCTCAGAAAGTGGCACAAGGACGTTGAGGACAAAGTTTTAGACTAGATAACGCTATCTTCATTATTGTTTTGAAAATAGATGTTAAATGTATTTTAGATAACTTCAAAAACCACAATTACAAATAACTTTTCGCTTAAAAACGATGGAATCGTGCTGAACACGTTAAGGCTCGATTAGAAAACTGATTAGATGGGCCGTTTTTGTTCCTTAACTAATTCTAGCACATATTCTGCAGAACATTCAATATGTAAGCGCCAATGTCTTCATCTTGGTTAGTCCAAGTGATTAGTATAGTCTTTTGCTTGGGATCTTTTTCGTCCTCCTCCACATTGATCTCAACGGTCTCTACAGTTATAATGCCGCTCTCCTGCAGCATTACGTTCCAGCCAACCAGCTTCTCTTCCAACAACGTTTTTAGTTTTTCGCTGGTGCGCAACTTTGGTCCTGGATCATCCATTTTGACCTTTGATGTGAAACGCATCACATGTCGATTAATGCCAATCTCTTTGAGGGCATCAGTCAGATTTTGTAGCATAATGCGATTGTCTTTCATCACCAGGACGCCGTGTATGAGGCGACGACGCTTTGGATCCGGCGGCTGAGCATTGTAGGTGCGGGCCTCCGCCTTCAGCAACGAAATTGAGGCATCCACGGGTATTTTGACGGGCGTAGAGATTACACAGGTCTCACCATTGGCTGGCATATAAGTTTCCAAATTAAACTCGTCTCGGATTTTGGCTCGCAGGAATTTCATTTTCTCAGCCTCGCCGTGGACAAGCATTACGTGTTTGGGCTCACAGTTCTGGATGAGCTGCATTATACCTAAAATGAATATTAGACTTATTTGATGCAATTTGTATGTATCTATTAATATTACCCTTGGCATCGGCATGAGCCGAAAAACTCATGTACTCCACGGCCATTTTGACCTCTATGACCTGACGATTCTCGCATTCGACTTTTTTGGCACCACTTAGAATTTTGTTGCCCACTGTGCCCTGCACACAGTAGCCCGGCATTATGACCATATTGTTCTCGTTCGGTGCCCATTTCTTAAAGATTTGTAACGAGAGACCGGCGTGCAACATGCCTGGGGTGGCAAAAACTACCATTGCACCTGGATTATCTATATATGCCTTGTCGAATGGCTTTATGTGTTTGAAATCGAACATATTTCGGTGTACAAACGTTTTGCGGATCTTTTGGTTCGTCCAAGTAATGAACATTTTGTAGTATGTATTCGCTTTCTCAGTGAGACCCAGTGCAAAGTAGATGGGATATTTCAGATTCATGCGTTCCCAATATGTTTCTAGCAGAATGCAAAGCTCCTGTGCTCGTCCCAATGCAAAGACTGGTATCAAGACTTTCCCGCCTTTTAAAACGCATTCGTGTACTTTTTTAAGAAAATCTCGTTCCCTACAGCGTTTGGAATCTCGTATTGTTGTGGCGTATGTACTCTCCGTTATAAGCAAATCCGGTCGGCATTTGTCAATCCAGGCAGCCCCTAAGTGCCGATCCGGAGTCATATTGTAGTCGCCGGTATAGACAACACTTTGCGAGCCAACTTTGATCCAAAACATTGCGGCACCAAGAACATGGCCTGCATAGTAGGCCTTGATCTCCAGATCTGTGTCCACCATCATGCTCTGATGTAATGTGACGGGTATTACCTTCTTCATGCAATCTTTAATCATTTGTGTTGTAAAGAAATTCGATTCGCCCTTGCGCTCAACAGCCACTTTTCGCATATCTTCCAGTAGAATGGGTGCAATAGCCTTCGTCGGATGAGTCATGTATATGGGACCAGTGTAGCCCACTATCTCCGACATATAGGGCAGAGCGCCACAGTGATCTAAGCATATACATGCGATTAATTACAAGTGTTATTGAGAGCTTGATTGAAATTAGTTACTGCTCACCAAGATGAAAGTGTGATATGATCACGCAATCAATGTGACTGGTAATTGGTCCTTCGGGCACAATGTATGAGAAGTCCGGGAAGCGTCTTTCATCATTGTAGCCCATATGCATGCCGCAGTCAAGCATTATGTTTTTGCCGCCCATCGACAGTAGTAGACAGCTGCGGCCTACATCCTGACCGGCGCCTAATGGTGTTATTTTAATATCCGGCATTGTGTGTGCGAGTACTTGAAAAATTCTAATGCAATGGAGATTTTGTTAACGCCACCGGCCATCTGTTTTCCTCGATTGGTGATAATACAGCGCTGCCACTCTTGCTACAGATGTTGATGCATATGAGGAGCATTCGTTGAGTGAGGAGTTATTCTGTTAAAGCTTTAGCAAAATATTCGTTATGTTATGCTTTCTGTTGATAGCATTGGTTATGTTAGTGTTCAATTCTGTTTTATTGTTCAGCAATTCAGTCCAAACGGAGAGGTTTGCGGTCCTTAAAATTTTCTCAAAATGCCTGATACGCTGGAGGATGCGGGTCCTTCCACGGTATCGCTACGAATCTGTATGGAAGGCCATGCGAATGCCTTGGCCCTAAACAAGGAGCATAATCAAATTGCAGTTGCCGGACGCAGCTGTAAGTAAATCCCCGTTCCTAAGATTCCATTTCTGAGATTAACGAAAAGTTTCTTCCCAGTGCTCAAAGTCTATTCGATTGACGCTGAAAGCTTCACGGAGGTGTGCAATATGCGAGTCGGCAAGAATCAAAATCTCAGCTATTCCTCCAATGATGTGGCTTGGAGCACATTGGATAGCAATATTTTGGCCACGGCAGCCACCAATGGCGTTGTCTCCGTGTGGGATCTTTCCAAGTTTGGACGGCAAAAGCAGCTGCTCGTTTACAATGAGCACGAGCGTACCGCTCATACAGTGACGTTTCATAGCACAGAAGGGAATATATTGATATCTGGCTCACAGGATGGTACCATCAAGTGCTTCGACATACGCTTCGATACGTCGGTGAACACATATTTCAGCAACTCGGAGTCCGTGCGCGATCTCAAGTTCTCACCGCACTCGCCGAATGTATTTTCTGCCGTATCAGAGAATGGAACCGTTCAGTTGTGGGACATGCGCAAGTGGGACAAGTGCATGGTTCAGTTCACGGCGCACAGTGGACCCATTTACACGTGCGATTGGCATCCCACGCGCAATTGGCTGGCTACCGGCAGCCGGGATAAGCAGATAAAGGTGTGGAATATGGATGGACGCGCCAGCTTGGAGTACACCATACATACGATTGCCGTAGTTGGCCGTGTTAAATGGCGGCCAGAGCGAACGTAAGCTAATAATATCCTAATTGATTTGTTGTCTTATAATCATAATTTTAATCCATATTGGCAGCTATCACATAGCCAGCTGCGCGCTCGTGGTGGACTACAGCATACACGTGTGGGATATACGTCGTCCCTACATACCCTTTGCCTCCTTTAATGACCACACAAACGTCACCACGGACATTGCTTGGCAGGGCAGTGATTCGCATTGCTTGCTCTCTACAAGCAAGGACTCCAGCATATATAAGCACGCTTTTAAAGATGCTACACGTCCGGCTTTGAAGGCCAATGCACAGGGCGCCAGCTTGGGCAGACATGGAGACATCTCATTTGCCAATAAAATCAAGGAATACGCAATTAAGTCGAGTGGCTTATCCAATACTAAAAGTACCAACTTTATGTGAGTTTAAGCAAACCGAATCATTATCGATAATAACATAGATTGGTTTTTATAGAAGTCGCCGTAAATCAAATATGCCCGGGAATATTCAATTTCATCTGGACCATTCCAAGATGTACATGTTTATGCTCAAGAATGTGGTAATGAACTGAACATTTGAATATATAATCTTCATTTTTAATATTGTACATGGCCTTATATAGAACATGGACTTAGGCCCTGAATTTCCCGCGCACGATACTACCACAGAGCTGCGGGTGCACGAAGTCTTCATTGGCTGCGCCCGGGAACTGCTGCTGAGCGGCAAGAAACTGGCCGAGTTGTGCGAACACAATGCGGAAGTCTCTCGGAAATACGGAAAATATAATGTAAGTAAAATAAAAGTTATTAGTGAACCTTCAATGATTATTAGAAATCCTTGGAGATGAAAAATATCCATTTCATATAGTAATTTTAATACGCTAAATTGTTTGTCCTACGTTTACCGAATCAAACTATTGTACTTTCAGGCTACCACACTGTGGAACTTCATTAAACTCTTTTATGGCACCAAACACTTTGAGCCACCCTTCGAGCATCGCTCCTCGTTCTCCAATCAAAAGAATCCCATTACCTCGCGTCGTGCTGCACAAGTGGCCAGCGATTGGACGCCACACGATCAGGGTCAGGAGATGAATGGCAATAGCCAAGAGACACAACTGGAAGCAGCCGATGCCAGTGACGATGGAGATGAGCTGGCTGTCGGTGGCAAACAAAATCCGCCGCCAACCAGTTCGGTGATACTCTCTGAAACGCAAATCATTAGTGAGATTACGTTTGATAACTTTGAGCTGTTGCGCAATGGGTTTATTTATGTCGGACCCGCGGACTTAACAAAAGCTCTGGCATTACCGGACACGGCGTTGCATCATGATGTACAAGCAGTTCGTTCACAGCTGGATCTCAAGGCATCCGAACATGAAAAATCTCCGGTGAGGGAAGAATTCATCATCGAATGGAAACCTTAATAAATATTTTGCCCATTTTGTTAGCCTCCTCAAGTGCCGAGTATATTGAAGGTGAGCCATGTGCCGCCCATACCCATGTGGGAGCCACATCAATTCGTGGTAGATGCCCTGATGCTGCAGAACGATGTGGGCGATGTGCAAACCGCTCTGACCATATTAATTGTTATGGGCGAGGCACGCCAGCTGCTGCCCATTGAAGATGTCGTGGTGGTAAGTCTGTCAAGTGAGCTGTATGTGCATTCAACACCAATTAATAATTACTATATGATAGGAACACTGGTTTCACACCTACGTGGATCAGCTGCATCGCTACGAACTCTGGAACGAGGCCTGTGAGGTGATTAATCGCGCCTGGGTGCGCTCCGTGCAGCAACTGAACCAACAGTCAACAGTCATGCCAACCAACTGCGGCGAATGTGGCCGACCGCTGGGCGGCGCTGTGGGCTGGTACTGTGACAAGTGCAAGTCTATGCAATCGGCTAAGTGCACCGTCTGTAATCTAATTGTGCGTGGCGTGTATGCTTGGTGTCAGGGCTGCTCCCATGGCGGTCATATCGACCATTTGCAGCAGTACTTTGCCAAGCATTCGAAGTGCGCCAAATGTGGACATTTGTGCGCGTTTTCCTGACACCCAGATGAATTCTACGCTTAAGCCGAATAGTAAGCGCAGCTAAAGTTGCGCAAGATGCGTGTTCAGATGTGATGATAGAGTTAAGCATAGTGCCCAAAGCTTGTCTAGCAGCAAATATTGTTTAAGTGCCGTAAATCATTCAGAGAATTGTACATAAAACGCTGTTGGCATTAGTTGTTTATTTTTAATTATATTTATATATTGTTTTTGTACAAAATAATGGCTACTTGATGAACGTGCTCTTGAAGGGCATTATAACAACGACCTTATTAGATTTAAACAAAAAACGGGCGCCGCCCACATTCAGTAGCAGAAAGGAGAGAAAAAATTGTAAAATTGTGAGTTCTGTAAGAATTTGAAAAATATATTGAGCACAACCAATTACGGTTGTCTAAGCCATGTATTAACTACTTGTATGCCATTGTGGTGTAAACCACAATGACACCACCGCCTGCCAGCGCTGTCCAAAAATCCACGCGCCAAGCGCAATGAAATTTTAGCAATTGCTTATGTTCAAATAAGTGCTACAAATGGAGAAAATGATAGCTTTATGGATGTTTCCATTTGATGACGTTTTTACATTGCGCCTCGCGCAGTTTGTCGCTTTAGATGGATGATGATCTATAGCTTGGATTTTGGAGCAGCGTTGGCGGCTAATTGTCAAGAGGCAAAATCGAGGCTCACAGTTTGGTAAGCATCGCCAGCAGCGCCAGTGGCAGCCGATGTGGAGTTACGCTTTAATGTTGGCGTATCCTCGTCGTAGCGTATGGTCATAGAATTCGAGTTGCCGGGTATGAGAACATAGCCCAGAGTTTCATAGAACTTGATGAGCTTGTCCTTGCAGTCCAGCGACATTTTGTAGCAGCCAAGGTGCTCGGCTAGCAGCGACACGGTAACAACAATGCTATCGACGAAACGGAAGTTATAGTAGAAGTACATATAAACACTTTAATGTTGCTCAACTCACAGCTTGCCCAGCTGCTTGCCACGATACGTGTCATTCACTACTACATCCTCAAGGCGTCCGCGCTGCAAAGAAAAGTAGTATGTATTCCCTGATATTTCAGACAGATCTTTCACCTACCACTGCACAATTGTGTATAAATTTGCGCTCAATGATGAGCGAGGCAGCACCAATTATCTCGCCCTTCCGTGTGTCCTCAATGACCGTCACATAGTAATCACCGCTGGCCTTCATCTGCGAGAAGCGTGCTGAGAATCGACATATTAATAACTGTTGCAGTTCGTTGAAAAGAAGTTCACTTACTCAGAAATTGTGTACGTGTTATATTGCCTACATTCGTGAGCTGAGAGAGTAACTGCAGAAAGCCGCGATCATAGTCCGTATCCTTCAATGGGCGCACTTGCAGCCACGACTCTCCCGGATTGGCAGCCGAGATGAAAGGCTGAAATTTAGCTGGGCTACGATGAAAGTCAAGCTTGAGCAGCACATTCGGATCATACAGGTACGTCTCTTGCTGCAATCAGTTAGTGAATGCCGATTATTAATTAGTATTTATATATAACATATGCTGTTATGGCATTTGATTAAACGTCTACCGTATATTGCACCATTTTGCGCCGTCTACTAAAAAGACCAACGTTAGCACTTGATAACCCAACAGACAGTCAGAGAATAGCGGTTGAAGTTGCTAGCAGGAATGGTAACTGCCGACTGGTTTCATGCATTGCTGTCGCTTTCGTTGGTCGTTGGCTGGACTGGTTTTTGGCCAACATGTTTTCGGAACGTTACCGCAAACCGGTAAATTGTGTAGTATTTCTTATACACTATCATTGGAGGAATCGGTTACTTATATTTAGCAATGAAGCAGGAGATTAAAAAGAAGCCGATAATCGAGCCGATAATAAATAATGGATTATGCTAACATCAACATTCACACACACATGTTCACATGTTTCTTTATTGTTATTGAATACCCTTGTATGTTAGGATGTACATATGTATATAGTAATTAATTTTTTCAATTATTTTGTATATACATTCTTTAAATACAAACTTATGATGTGCCGCAGAGTATTTAATCTTCGCCTAACCGAATACAATCGATCTGTTTAGTTATTGATTGAGGTGTGTGTTTCTTTTGCTATGAACAGGATTACATTAGCAAAGCAATTCAAGGTCGTATCGGGCTGTTGTGTGAATGGCCGCCACATGGTCACGTTTTTGGTAGGCTAATGCAAATTTGTCTTGTTGGCAGTTTCTTATGTATGCTAAAAATACGCACCATTTTTATTTATCAGTTATTTACGTATGATATATAGATAAAACTAATAATACAGTAGCTGCGACGTATCGTTGGGGCGGAAGTTTTTTTTCCGCTGTTTTGCCAACAACTATCAGGAACCAAAGTTAGAGTGAGACTGAAGCGGCATTCGAGTGGTGCAAAGCGAAAGAAAATTGCGAACCGATTTACCGCTCACGCGGCTTTGTTTGGCTGTCGTGAAATGCCATATGTATGTTGAAATCGAAGCACCTTTTCAATACGTAAAAGGTGTAACCGAATTGTGAAAAGCACCTGTAACTGTATATTAACAGACGACAACCAAAACAAGCGGCCTTAAAGACTGTGCAGTTGTAAACATTTAAACAGCTGATTCAAGAGAGAAGAGTTGCCAAACAGAGAGGAGAGAGACAGAGAGAGAATGAATTAAAACAAACGTGCATTTATTTTGAATGCTCAATATTCTACAATTAACAAATATTTGTTTTTATGTAGCTACAATATACTTGGGTGTTTTGTACATTTCGTAGGCGAATTCCTCTTGATGGCTGGGATCATACTCCAATCCAACATAGTCAATTTCCAAACCAAATGGCCCATCCATGCCTTTTTTGGCTGCCACAGAGAAACCAAAATGAGTTACACAATCCAGAGATATTGCATTCTGACGATCCTGTACACGACCTTTGGAGGATAGAAAGAATTTGGAGAAGGGTATCTTTGCTATTTGCCAGTGAGGACCACCGCGTGTATAAAGCACATAGTGATAGATATCGTTCCACATGAGATCGAAATAGCCCTCTGTGTGTAGATTAATTAAATAGCTTCGTCCGTCGCCGCGCACCTTCATAATCAACATGTTGTACTGGGTCCAGTCGTATGTGGACTCTCGCTTAAATGATTTCTATTGGGAAATAGACTTGCAATTAGAAATCAATCCTGCAATGACTTTTTAGTCTCTACTGACCCGCACACGCTTAGTGCGTATATTCGCATAGCCAGTGCGCTTGATGATGCCATCCTTGGTATGCTGGGAATTAACCTCGCCGTGGAATAGTCCTGCCCCTGAAGCACTTAGCTCCAATGTTGCTCTGCTTTTGCCTTCACCGTGATCCGCATCTGTTGTCACCGTCCATTTATCGAGTGCGTCCGGTGCTTTGAAATCGAAAACTATATCCGTTTCTCCGGGTCGAAATACTAGAATTGGATCGCTTTCGAGTTTTTCTTTTACTTCCTGACGCCATAGCTTGATTTCCTCTTTTAAGTCCCGTAGTCCATCAATTATAAGCTGCTTTTTGGATGGCTCCGGCAGTTTTGTTTTGTAACCGGATTTCTTCTCTCGCTCCCAAAACGTACGCTGCAAGGCGGTTGTATGAATTTGCGCTGCTGGGAGCCAGCAACTTAAACGTTGCGTTTGTCTGACTAGGCAGTGCATATTAACATATTTTATTAAATAAAATAACAATTAAATAAGCGGCACCAAGAACCTCAACGTAACAAATATCAGCTGTGCATTTTTGGTATTCTCATCATTGCGGTAACATGCAGCGGCAATGCTACTTCACGAATATATGTGAATGGCATTGCAATCAATTGTGTGAATAGCACAACTGGATTGTTCTTGTTATTAGTGTTCTTGTTAATAGTGCAAAGTTCTTCGAGTTGCACATAATAATTTACTATGAGGTCAGACCAAGTAGAAAAGTGTGCTCCAAGCAGTGAATGGAATGTGCTGTACTGGATACTTGGCAGTATTCTAATGCCTGTGGCTTTGCCACTGGCCTTTATAAATTTATGGCAACGTTTTCGCGCCCAGAAGTACCGAAACCAATTACCCGGCAAAGTAGAAGGCAATAAATCTGATTCTAAGTCGTTTTATGCTAAATTTGGTATTAAATTTTTCTAGGTTGTGCTAATAACTGGCGCCAGTTCTGGCTTGGGCGAGTCCCTTGCGCACGTCTTTTATAAAGCGGGGTGTAAGATTATCTTAGCCGCCCGGCGGGTTGAAGAGCTGGAGCGGGTGAAGAATGACCTAATGAAACTGGACGTGGTAAATTATGTCTTTTATGTTTATTGAAATATTCATATTGATATTTATAGATACTTGCAGGATCCCGCATATCCGCCCACCGTTCTGGCTTTGGATTTATCTGAACTTAATTCAATGTCAGATTTTGTTAAGCGTGCCTTGGGTGTTTACAACCAAGTCGATATCTTAATAAATAATGGTGGCATTAGTGTACGTGCAGATGTTGCCACTACAGCTATCGACGTCGACCTAAAGGTAATGGTGGTCAATTATTTTGGCACGGTGGCGTTAACAAAAGGTATTTTCTTGTAGCTCTATTTGCAATAATGTTTATATAATTAATCTAATTTAATATAGCTCTGTTGCCTTCTATGGTAAAACGTCAGAGTGGTCATGTATGCTTTATAAGCTCTGTACAAGGAAAGTTTGCGATACCTCAGCGAGCCGCTTATTCCGCCTCCAAGCATGCACTGCAAGCATTCGCCGATGCGCTGCGTGCTGAGGTGGCCAATAAAAATGTGTACGTTTCCTGTGTCAGTCCTGGTTACATACGCACACAGCTTTCAATGAATGCCTTGACGGGAGCGGGCACTAACTATGGCAGTAAGTATAAATGTCATTCATAAGTAAGCTGCTAGTTAATTCATTTGCATTTCTCCCGCATTCAGAAATGGATGAAACTACGGCCAAGGGTATGTCGCCCGATAAGTTAGCGGAACGCATATTACAATGCATTATGCGCAAGGAACCCGATATAATTGTCAGCGATGTCCAAGCTAAAATTGCTTATTATTTACGTCATTTGTTGCCACCTCTCTATTTTTGGATTATGGCGAAACGGGCCTCTAAATTGGAAAAGGCTGAGAAAAAAGCTAATTAAGTAAATGTGTTTCGTTTCTGTAAGTTTAGTTTCATTTTTTTTTTATTGTTATTTTAATTTTGCTTGAAATGGGAAATTATAAAAAAATATTGCAGCAGTGTGCAGTGTTAAAAAATTAGTTACAATTTGCATTAACATTTAATGATAATATTAATAAATTAAATAATTACTGCATTCATACCATTATTATTATTAAGTAAAACTTAAGTGTCACACATTTGCTCTGTCTCTCTGTTAGCAACTTATATTATTTAAGAATTATTGTACTTAAATTATGCTGCTTCTGCTTTACGGCTTTCGATTTACTCGTTATTTAATTGACGACAGAAATACTTTTCGTACTTGATACGTTCTTTGACAACATTTAAAACTTTGTTATTTAACTAGGGGTTTGGTTCTCTACGAGGGTTTCTTGGAGTATGTGTATTTAAAATTCATTTAGCTAAATTATAAAAAATAGTTATTATCAAACCAGTGAAGTGGGTGCAAACCCTTTATCAAAAGGAATACACAAATTAAATTAATTACAATTGAGGTACACACACAGATTTCAAAATCGTTTTGCAGTTTTACGACTAAATTATTAATGTATATATATATAGATGCATATATATAGTTTAAAATCAATAAATTTCTTATGTACAATACACAAAAATTGTTCATTTCGCGCTAAAATAGTCTTTCTGTCACGCTCAAAATACTTTCAGCTTAGATAATAATTATTTGCATTTTTTTTTTTATATACAATACATAAACATTGGCAATTTTTTTTTTATTTTTGTATTTTTTTGGTGAATTTTATGATTTTGCCGAGATACTTTAATGTTATAAAAGAATCTTCGCGTTGTATAGTTTCATATTTAAATAGTTATCAATAGGTGTTCGTGTGAGATTTGCTTGGGTTTTTTCGTTAAGATAAACTTATTACTATATTTCGATTTATGTTACTTTTAATTTTCTTAATAAGCATTTCAAAGCGATTGTCGCGTAATTTTGTTTTTCCGTTTCATAACTTGCCTACGCGTTTACGTTAACTGTCTTTACTTCCACTTGTTTCGGGTTGATCATTTGAGCTGAGTTTATGCCTACCTATTAATGTGTTGTATATTCCAAAAAAATATACCATATACCCATGTGCTCAGTGCACGACCCCATCTATGAGTACTTTGTCCAGCCAATGCGCCAATGCAAATACATATCAGAACTATACGCAATTTAAAATACGACGAGCTTTCAACACATTTCTTACAAACATATGTAAATATCTAGGGATTATTCCAATTAGCTTAGACTATAAAACGCTAGTTATTTGGGGCTGGCTCTCTTTCTTATATCTCCACAAGCCGTCTGCTTTCCTTTGTGATTTGATACGCTACGTGACTATCGTATGTAATGAATATCGGTTAGGTGTTTTGTTCCTTATTGCTTTCTAATCTTTTATTGTTTGCATATAAAAACTATTTGTCTTTCGATTTTATTTCCTATATACACTACTTCTAAGAATGGCGCAGGCAATAGTGTGTGTGTGTGTGGATGTGCAGATGTGGGGATAACTGCAGAGTGGGGCGCTGTTTAAACTGTTTTTTATTAAGTTTCATTTGATTCTGTTGCGACTACTAATTACTACGATTCGATGCATTTTACTTTTGATTTATTGACAGTTATCGTTGGTTATAATTGTTACTAATATCATTTATGTATATTACTTGCAACTTTCCCGGGCTAACCACTTGGCTACACTCGTCTCATCTCAACTACAATTCTTATAATCATTTTTGATCTTTTTGGAAAATATTCATAAGAGTATTCTTTTGTTTTGTTTTAAAATGTTCTTGGTAAGATTTTACGTTTATGTTTGTTTTATACATTCCTTACTAAAATAGCACCTTATATTGTTTTTCTGTGTGTCGAAGTTTATAGAGACAATGGTCGTTGTTCGAAACGTAGAGAACATGATTTAAGAAAATAAAGATATGTTATATGTAAAGATAGCATAATACTGTGTAGGAATTCATATAAAACAGAGATAAATATAATAACAGTTTGAAACTGCGTAGCGATCGAGTTTCGTTGTATCGATGTACATATGTATGTATATATAGATGTCTAGATTAGTACTTCATCGGTCTATTGCAATAATTATAATTTGTTTGTATTACAAAAATAGTTTAGCCTAGGCCGATTTCATTATGGTTTTCTTTGTTTTTCAAAGCTAATAATACTCTAATTGTGGAACGTTAGTATAAATTTCAAATTAGGATATTGTTGGTTCATACATACAATACGATCGATCGTATTACGACAACTGA